TTAGATCCAGTGGGTTATAGAGCTACAGCTCTTAGATCCAGGGGGTTATAGAGCTACAGCTCTTAGATCCAGTGGGTTATAGAGCTACAGCTCTTAGATCCAGGGGGTTATAGAGCTACAGCTCTTAGATCCAGTGGGTTATAGAGCTACAGCTCTTAGATCCAGTTGGTTATAGATCTGTAGATCTTAGATCCAGTGGGCTATAGATCTCTAGATGTTAGATCCAGTTGGTTATAGATCTGTAGATCTTAGAACCAGTATCTTATAGATCTACAGCTCTTAGATCCAGTGGGCTATAGATCTCTAGATGTTAAATCCAGTTGGTTATAGAGCTACAGCTCTTAGATCCAGTTGGTTATAGATCTGTAGATCTTAGATCCAGTGGGCTATAGAGCTACAGCTCCTAGATCCAGTTGGTTATAGATCTGTTGATCTTAGATCCAGTATCTTATAGATCTACAGCTCTTAGATCCAGTGGGCTATAGATCTCTAGATGTTAAATCCAGTTGGTTATAGATCTGTAGATCTTAGATCCAGTGGGCTATAGAGCTACAGTTCCTAGATCCAGTTGGTTATAGATCTTTAGATCTTAGATCCAGTGGGCTATAGATCTGTAGATCTTAGATTCAGTTGGTTATAGATCTTTAGATCTTAGGTCCAGTTGGTTATAGATCTGTAGCTCTTAGATCTAGTTGGTTATAGATCTGTAGATCTTAGATCCAGTTGGTTATAGAGCTACAGCTCTTAGGTCCAGTGGGTTATAGATCTGTAGATCTTAGATCCAGTGGGTTATAGATCTGTAGATCTTAGATCCAGTTGTTTATAGATCTACAGACCTTAGATCCAGTTGGTAACGGATCTGTTTGGTTGTCTCTCCTTGCAGGTGACGGTTGGCGGCGCTCCCTGTCAGGTGACCAACAGCTCCCAGTCGGAGCTCAGCTGCCGCCTAAGCCCCGCCTCCACGCTCCCCATCGGCGTGGCTCTCTCTGTATCAGTCAGAGTGAAGAACCTGGGCGGCGCTCTGGTCGCCATCGCTGCCGAGTTCAGTCGGCGCTTCGTGGTGCTGCCGGTGGTGGAGTCGGTGTCTCCCGCTGTGGGCAGCACCACCGGACTCACCAGGCTGCTGATCAGCGGCTCTGGGTTCTCTGAAGGCAGCGTGGCGGCGGCAGGCGTGACCTGCAGCATCGTGATGGTGAACTACACGCACATCCTGTGTGACACGGCTGCGTCCCAGCAGCGCTCCGGAGACGTCGTGTTCCGCAGCGGCCTGATCCAAAGCTCTTGCCGCTCAGACTGCTCCTTCCAGTTCTCCTCCTCCGTTACTCCCACCATCAGCAGCATCTCCCCGGACAGCATCAGCGGTCAGACAGACGTGGTCGTCTCGGGCTCCGGGTTCGGCGGCATCATAGACGACGTGTCCGTCTCTATCGGCGCCACGGAGCTGGAAGTGATGGCTGTGAGCGGCGAGAACGTGACAGCGAGGGTCCACGCCCTGCCGGCAGGAGACCACCCTGTGAGAGTGGTTGTGAGGAGCAGAGGTCTCGCTTCGGGTCAGGTCACCCTGAGCAGCCGCGCGCTGGCCGCCCTGCATCCTGCCGTAGGCAGCGTGGCCGGGGGAACGCCGCTCACCCTCACAGGGAACGGCTTTGCTCCGGGGAACACCAGCGTGACGGTGGACGGGGAACCCTGCAGGATCCAGGAGGAGAGTCCCGGTCGGCTCCTCTGTCTGACGCCTCCTCACGGCGAGGAGCAGGTGGCCGTCAGGATCCAGGTGTTGGGCGTGGATTATCCTCCGCTCAGCTTCAACTACTCTGCAGGCCACACCCCCATCATCAGCGCCATCAGCCCCCCCACCGGTAAATAGATCAGACTGAAGCTGGAAGCTTTTATTGTGAAGGAACAGGAGCGAATGTGAGAAACATGAGGCCCTGGGCTAGCTCCTCCCCCTGCCCCCTGGGCTAGCTCCTCCCCCTGCCCCCCATCACCCCCCCTTAAATAAAGTTTGTGTGGAATGATCAGAAAAGATGGTTTGTTTCCCGCAGGTCCGAGCGGAACCGTCGTCACGCTCACCGGATCAGGATTCGGTTCTGACTCGCAGCTCCTCTCCGTCACCATGGACGGCGCTGCCTGCGAGGTGTTGTCCGTCTCCGACGCTCAGGTCCGCTGCACGACGGGAAGCAACCCGGGCGGCGGCTATCCGGTCGTCCTGCATCACCGGGTCAAAGGTCACGCCCAGTCAGAGGTCCGCTTCACGTACCAACTGACGCTCAGCAGCGTCCAGCCTAACCAGGGTGAGAGGTTAACGCCACTTCCTGATTCCTCCGCAGAAAAACGTTCATTCGTTGAAAAACAAGCAAAACAGGAAATTTAAGGTTCTTTTGTGAAAATATTAAAAGTTAACATTTTATTAAATGAGAGTTCTGAGGGGAATAATGTTCTGATCCATTCGTCCGTCTGCAGATCCACACAAAGTCTTCTCCTGGTTCCCTGTGCTCCCATTAACCTTTCATTGTCCTCTGAATCAGGGAGTTTTGGAGGCGGAGCTTTGCTGTCCATCCTTGGTTCTGGGTTCGATCCGATCAACTCCACGGTTCTCATCTGTGACCAGGAGTGTCCTGTTGTCCGGGAAACGTCCACGTCCACCAAGCTGTACTGCCAGTCTCCACTCAACAACGGTCAGTTCTGCCAGCGTGTCCCGATAGAAACCCGAATGTCCTTAAGGTGACTTTAGAAGCTTTACAGTAGAACTTAAAGAGTCCATCAGAGGACAGACTGAGACTCTGTCCGTCAGAGGACAGATCGAGGCTCCGTCCATCAGAGGACAGACCGAGGCTCCGTCCATCAGAGGACAGACCGAGGCTCCGTCCATCAGAGGACAGACCGAGGCTCCGTCCATCAGAGGACAGACTGAGACTCCGTCCGTCAAAGGACAGACCAAGACTCTGTCCATCAGAGGACAGACTGAGACTCCGTTCATCAGAAGACAGACTGAGGCTCCGTCCGTCAGAGGACAGACTGAGGACTCCTTCCGTCAGAGGACAGACTGAGACTCCTTCTGTCAGAGGACACACTGAGACTCTGTCCATCAGAGGACAGACTGAGACTCTGTCCATCAGAGGACAGACTGAGGACTCCTTCCGTCAGAGGACAGACTGAGACTCCTTCTGTCAGAGGACAGACTGAGACTCTGTTTCCATTGGTCCTGCTGTCCTCTCTGACCCGTTCTGTCTCTTTGCTCTGCTGCAGAGACAGAAGCTGCTGAAGTTCAGAGAGGACAGACGGGTCCCCCAGACGTCTCATATCTCTGCCATCTTGCTTCTTGTCTCCTCAGCCTCTCAGTCGGACCTCAGCTGCCTGGTTTCTGTCATCAACCCGTTAGACGCCGTCAACATCTCAGAGGGCTTCACCTACCGATCGGCTCTGACTCCCGTCATCACTGAGGTGGCGCCGCGACGGGGAGGCACCGCTGGTGGCACGCGGCTCACCATCAGCGGCTCCGGTTTCAGGTGTGTGCGAGCCGCCCTGTCCCCCCAGAGCACCGGGTTTCCTGCGGACACCTGTGGACGTCCCTGAGGACATTTTCCCTCCTCAGACACATCTAGAGTTAGAAACAACATAGTTAGATTGAAAACGCTTAGTGCTGTTTTTAAAGTCCAAAGTAATCTGAGTAAATACAGGAAGAAGTTTAAAGATTAGGGTCTGACTGCATGAAGTAGGACGGATTTCCAGAACTGTCCAGCATCGTGTTCTGATCCAAACTCACTGACGTCTCCCCCTAAAGTATTTGCCCCCCTCTAATTCCAGCACCAGTGTGAATGAAGTCAACGTGACGATCGCCGGCTCGCCGTGCGACGTCCAGTCCTCCAACAGCACACACATCGTCTGTGTGACCAACGCTCAGAGCCGGTCTCAGGAGACCAAGGTCAGGGTCAGCGTTGGAGACCGCGGCGTCGCCAAGATGGTAACCAGAACCCCCCCCCCCACAGGTTCCCCCACTATCCCGCTGGAGGAAACATTGTCCCGTTGGTCTGTCTCTGCAGGATAACGCAGACTTCTTCTACATCGACGTGTGGTCGTCCAGGTTCACCTGGGGGGGGCAGTCTCCCCCTGAGAAGGGCTCGTTCGCCGTCATCAGCGAAGGCCAGACCATCCTGCTGGACACCAGCACGCCGGTGCTGAAAATGCTCCTCATTCAGGGTGGGCAGCTTCTCTGCAGCCATGCTGGAAAATGGTTTTTCTTTTTAACCTCCTAAAGAAACTCAGTTGACATTTAATGTTCCTCAGGAGGAACTCTGGTGTTCGACGAGGCCGACTTGGAACTGCAGGCAGAAAACATCCTGATCACCGATGGAGGGCGGCTCCAGATCGGTCAGGAGGGGGCGCCATTCCAGCACAAAGCCATCATCACCCTCCATGGAAACCTGCGCTCACCTGAACTACCTGTTTACGGAGCAAAGACGCTGGCTGTCAGGGAGGGCATCTTAGATCTTCACGGTAGGAACGCAAACTTTGACCTCCTTCAAAGA